ACTGAGTGAGTGGCATGTCAGGAGCAAACTCACCCCCGGCCTCTGCTCTCCCCCAGGGATGCTCACTTTTCTTGCCTCAGGCCCACAGCCACTGGCCAGCTGTGACCCTCAATACCTGCCCCATGTATATGGGGAGGGCAGGGGTGTGCCTGCCTCCTGGAGCACTGCAAGGGCCACGACCCCATCGTTACAGATCAGGTGCCCCACGGCTGCCCCTGGCAGGTGGGAGGGGCCTCACGTCTGCTGAATGGCACCATGGTTGGGCCTCTTGCCATGTTCCAAGGCCAATATTCACCTTGGGCACAGCACGTCCTGGAGACCTGACACCTCAGAGGCAGACCAGGTCGTGCTGGGCTCATACAGAGGGAAACTGAGGACTAGGACCCTCCGGCAAATGTGGCCCCCATGACCTGGGCCTCAGGCACCACAGCAGGGGGTAGCTCTTGGTAGGAGGCAGGCTGGCTGGCACACCCCACACACCTGCTCCCTGCACGGCGCCCGGAAGGGTGGGAAGAGGGAAGGGCTCCCAGCAGGGAGCCCCAGCTGGGAACAGCCACTTTGCGCAGACTCCCAAGCAGCTAAAGCGCTAAACTGAGAAGATAAAACCCAGTCACCGGAAACAAAATGCTGTCAACCCTGAAACAGGAACCTTTATACACTCACAGGTGGGAGTTCCACAGCCAAAAGCTCCCCCTGGAGAAGGGAATGTTTCTGAGACTGCCACCCGGCCCCCCACACCCCGTTCACAACTGCTGGTTCACACTCCTGTGGGAAGGCAGCTGCCCCGTCTTACCAGCCCCAGGAGAGTTGGGAGGCCCGAGGGCAGGTGGGAGACCCGCTCACGGGCCAGGACCGGCCCTCTGCTCAGAAGTGGCCACGGCCGCTGCAGGCACGTTCCAGCATCTGGGCCACATACAGCATCCTGGTCTTTTATTTTATTATTATTATTATTTTGTGTGTGTGTGTGTGATACTGGGTCTTGCTCTGTTGCCCAGGTTGGAGTGCAGTGGTGCAAGCACGGCTCACTGCAGCCTCAACCTCCCACCTCAGCTTCCCAAGTAGCTGGGACTATAGGTGTAAGCCACCAAGCCTGGTTAATTTTTTTTTAATCCTAAGTAGAGACAGGTCTCAAACTCCTGGACTCAAGTGATCCTCCCACCTTGGCTTCCCAAAGTGCTAGGATTACAGGTGGGAGCCACTGCGCCTGGCCTCTGGTAACTACTCTTCTCAATTCTGGGGGAGCAGGCACTTTTTTTACGGCCTCCACCTCACAATGTCTATTTTCACGAAATGCCCCACCCTGGCAAGAAAGCCACTGAATGGGATTCTTACAAAGCGGGGACTCTGGCTGCAGCAGGCACTGGTTCCTTCTAGGAGATGCCCACTGGGGGTAGGAAAGCAGAGGTGCCAGGCCTGGGCTGGCAGGGACTGACCTTCTGTGCCCTCGGCCTCCCGGCCGTGTGGTAGTGGCTGCGGCTCCTCCTCCTCCTCCTCGGGGTCAGCCTCTGGCCCGGCCTCCTCCTTCACGCTGCCCCCAGCCTCCTCCAGGAGCGTCGCCCCAGCCGTACCCTCCCCGGGGGACTTGGGGTCTTCGGGCTTGGGCTTCTTGGGCTGGCTCCGTTTCCGGTGAGACCTGGAGAGGGAGGTTTATCAGGCAGGAGGGGAGACCAGGGAGGAAGAGCCCTCGGTCTGTGCACTCTGTCTGGCAGCGCGCAGCCCCCGCCCACCCCCAGAAGAGTGCCTGACGAGCAGGAGCCTCCTGGCTGGAGGCCAGGGGTAAAGGGAACCCTGCGTGGGGTTCTGCTCTTGCAGGGCAGGAGCTGTATTGGGAGGAGAGACCGAAGGGAGACGGGGCAATGGACACGGTGGGGACGGTGTCAAGCAGGGGACGCTGATGACAGCTGGAGATGGGAAGCCGACTGACACCAGGTGGGATGACGGGCGGGACGGGGCGGCAAGAGCCGTGTGTGCCACGGGACAGAGACACGGGGAGTGAGCTCCAAGGGAAACAGCAGCTCATGGAAAATGCCTAGACGACAAACGGAACGAAAAAGACACTTACGACAGCCCCGGCCTTTTGGTCTGCTCTTTCTTCCTTTCTAGACTTGGTTTCCTCTCCTCCTCAGTCTTTTTCCAGTGTCTGTTTTCTTTCAGACTAATTTGTCTAGAATGTAAATTTCACGGGTTTTTTCTCTAGGACTTCTGCTCAACCCCCCAGGACGCCAGGTCCTGGGCACCTGGCTCTGTCCCCGACTCCCTGGGTCCTCTCTCTGCAGCCTTTGAGGCGCATGGGAGCCCCAGCTCACACTCTGCTGCTCTGACCTGTGCCCACGCCCCAGGGTCTGCCAGGGCCTCCTCTGCACCCCGAGCCCAGGATCTGCTCACAGGGCAGGCGTTGGCCAAGAGGAGGCGCATCCTGTATGCCCAGCCTGGACACCCACAATCCCGGGGTACATCAGGGAGGTCCCGGTCCCTGCACACCAGCCCCAAGTGAGAGATTCAGCCCAAGGCTTACAAGCTTGGCTGAGCTAGCACTTCTTAGAAATGAGAGAGAAGGGGGCTGAAAAAGGAAGGAGGAAAAGCGACAGCCGGGTGAACCTGCAGCTGAGCGGCCAGGGCCTCGCACCAGGTTCCCCCGGGGACCTCCAGGGCCTTTCCAGGAAGGAAGCAAAAGTTTTTGGAGATGCGGAGGGGGTGGCTCCCAGGGAGCTCAGGCAGAAGCCAGGAGTGCAGAGAAGCCGAGGCCTGGCGCCTCCCCTGGGCGTGTGATGTCTACACCTCCTCCAGGCCCACCCCCTGCAGCTGCCCTAAGCCCTGGCCTGGCCAGGGGCCTCACTAGGCCATGAGCTTGAGGCTGCACAGCCCGGCCCGCCGGAGGCCTTTCTCCCCTTCCCAGTTGAGAGCCAGCCGCGTCAAGCCCGCCAGCAGCCAGGCAGAGCTGGGAGCGCCAGTGTTTCCAGGACAATTACCAATGCCGGCTGCGGCTTCTGAGTGCTTCCCGTGTCCCCTGTTCCTGTGGGCTCAGACTTGGTCACCTCAATCCCACAGGGGTCCCTGTGGCAGCTGCCCCTCCAAGGACCAAGTGGTCACCAGGGTGGGGCAGGTTCATCTGACAGGGGTGGGGTGGGCCCGCTGGCGGGGCTTCTGTCACCAGGACCTCCTCGCCTCTGCCTGAGCCAGGCTGTCACATGGGCCAGCAGCAGCCCATGCTCCCTCAGGACACTCGGACCTGACCCCTGCCCACCGCTGCTCCCAGCCACTCTGCCCGCCCTGTGCTCCATGCTGGCTTCTGGGGCGCCTCCTCCAGGAAGCCTTCCTAGAACACTAGTCACTGCCAGCCCTGCTTGCTCCTCAGCTGCCTAACTCGCTAGAATCAGTGCTCCCCGACGTTTGCAGCATGGCCCACCACAATGACTCAAGGCAGAAAGCGGGTGGCCCAGAGGCATGGCATCACACAGCATGGTGCACACAAGGTCGCTGTGGGGCGGCCGGGCGGGGGCGGGAGGCAGGCAGGGGCGGGCGTGGGGCCAGAGTCACTAACACAGGAAGCAGGAGGTGGGTGGTGGACATGGGAGCTGCCCCTGCCCTCCAGAGAACGTTCTCCACAACAGCAGCCCAAGGACGGCTCCGGGCAGGCAGCCTCAGGCTCCACTTGAGGGCTGGGGAAATGCTGGGTGCCTGCCCCATGTGGAGATAGCAGGCTCAGGAATAGGAAGCTTCAGATTGGCGCTGGGTGCAACTGGCTCTTGTAACCACTGTCATCCCAAGGTGGGCTGCCCTCCTGGTCTGGGAATGCCCCAGGGCTGCAGGGCCAGGATCCTACAGTGGACCCGCCCTGGTCCCAGACAACACCAGCAGAAGGGTGCCCTCCTACTCCACTCACCTGGCCTTGGCGGCCTCCAGCTCCATAGCCCCTTCTCCCACCCACTGCAGTCCCTCCCTCCACTCCCACCCTGAAAACCCACCCTAGAGGTCGCTTCTGACCATGGCCCTCCCCTGCTACAGCCTTCCAGGTGTACCCCCACAGCCTTGAAGCCTTACTGTGTCTGCCCCAGAGGGCCCAGGACTGTCCTGGTGTCCAACCAGAGCTCTGGGGCCTCATCCTTGCAGCCCAGCCCTTTCCTACCTGCGCGGTGCCAGGCTGAGACCTCTGGGTCCCACACTACATGGAACTGGGTAGGGCTCAATACACAGACACAGCAAGGGGGGCACAGCCCACGGCAGAGAGGCATCCATCACTTGGGGCATCTGTGGGGTCCTAAGGGCACGCCTCTTCCTGACCCTGACACCTTCATCCCCTTTCGCGTGTTTCTGCACCCAATGCTTATTTCTGGGTCTGGCTCCCGGCACAGGTGCTGAGGGTGTGGCCGTCCTTGCTCGCCTCCATGACCGTCCCCTTCTCTCCCTGCACCTGCCACTGTCTTCCGCTGCAGCCAAATTCCACGTGTACGCTTTTATGCCCCATAAACATTGTGCATCCATGAGCCACAGAGCAACTCAGGCCGCATTCCCCAACCCCCCAAACAGGGGTCTGGAACTAGCCTCAGGAACACCTAGCTTCCTTGGTATCTCTGAGCTCCCTGCCGTTGCTCTTAAATTCCTGCTGTGGTCTCCTGTGCAGGGTGTCCCCTTCTCTCCATGACACCCTAGGGGTCTTGGTTCCTTCTCCCATGATCTTGAGACTCCCCTTGACTCTCCTGGGTTAGATCTTGTTTCCTCAATCCCATGGCTTCCTTGGTTTACATCCTTGTTTAGCTGGAGCACATCCTGCAGCAGCTTCCTGAGAAAGGAGATGGAACACGAGACTCTGTGTGTCTAAAAAGATCCTTATTCTCCTCACACATTTCTTGACAATTTGGCTGGGTGAAAGATTTGGGGAGAATTATTCCTCTTCTGACTTTTGAAGGCCTTTTTCTTTTGTCTTTTAGTTTATGGCATTATGATTGTAGATCCAATGCTAATAGGGTCTCCTGTTCTTTTTTTTTTTTTTTTTTTTTTTGTAGAGACAGGGTCTAGCTATGTTGCCCAGGCTGACCTCGAACTCTTGGCCTCAAGAGATCCTCCTGCCTTGGCCTCCCACAGTGCTGGGATCACAGGCGTGAGCTACCATGCCCAGCCCCAGTCTGGTGAGCTGTTTAGTGATCTGTTTGCTCTGGAAGCTTTCAGGGCCTTTGTTTAATCCAGGAGTTGTAAAATTTCACAGCGATGTGTTGTCGTTTGGGTAATTTCCATTCTTGGGTGGACTTTCCGGACTTTTAAACCTGGAAATGCAAAGTTTCTTTTTTTCTGAAACTCCTATCAGGGGCTAGATTTCCTGGACTATGCCTCTGACTTCCTGATCCTTCATATCTTCCAGCTCTGTCGGTCCATCTGTGCTGTGGGAGGGGCTTCTTCAAGAGCCTCCCAATCCACCAGGGCGCTTCTCTCCTCTATATGGTAACATCCGAGAGTCACTCGTTCCTGGAACGTTTCTTCTTCACAGCAATGGCTCTTCTTCCATAATGCAAAATCCCGGGCCGCTCCAGGGCCCCACGCTCACTGCATCCTCCTTCCTCGGAGCTCTTCCCTTCTTCGCTGTGCAGGCCCTGCTTTGTCATGGGAGCGTGGCCTCCAATGTGTTGGGCCCCCTGGCCGTTGATCCCTCTGTGCACGGTGACAAGCCGTGTGTGAGATGGGCCTGGTGAAGGCAGTGGCAGGGGCTGCTGAGGGCAGGAGACTGTGACTTTAGGGGAGCCCCAGTATCCGCATCTGTGGCTTTGCTCCACTGGGCCCCTTTGTTCTCTGGGAGAGGACCCCGCCCCCTCTATTGTCTCTTCTGGCCTTGGGGGTGGGGGGATGTGAGGCTGGCAGCTGGGCCCCACTGCCAACCTCAGGGAGGCGCTTCCCTCCTGCCCAGAGCCACCCACTGCCTTCTGCTGGTTATCCCCGCATCCCTCCAGCCCCCCAGGAGCTGCCATGTCTGCCTGCTGTTTTTCTGCAGCCCCGTGGTGCGTTCCCCCTGCAGCCCCCCAGGAGCTGCCCACGTCTGCCCACTGTGTCTTTCTGCGGCCCCGTGGTGCAGACCAGCCGCTCCCTGCTGGCTGTCCTCCTGGTCGCTGGCCCAGGAGGTCTCCTGCCCACCCTTCCCTGCTTTTCAAAGCCTGTAGACATGCTCAGCTGCCACTGCCCCCCCTCCTGTTCTCTGCACTTCACTCTGTGGCGTTTCAGGGGCGTTTCAGGAGAGAGTGGAGATAAATAAGCACTTAGCCTGCCAGGCTTAACTGGACGCCCCTGGGCTCATTCCTATGAGCCAAATGTCGGGACGTAGTTCAGAAAACTGCACTAATATTTCCAAGGTGGAAGCAGGTGTCCTTTGCAGCTTGTATGGCAGGAGGCGGGGTGGACGGCCTCCGGCCCTGTCACCCAGTAACACGGGCCACCTGCAGCAGCCAGAGTGGGACCGTCAGCTCTCAGTGCCGCGCTGGCTCAGGGCTTCTCACAGGGCGGGGAGGACTGGGGCTGCCCCAGCCCTGGCCCCAGGCTTAGGGATGGCTGGGAGGTTGGCCCCAGACTGAGCCCTCAGAGCCGCCCCCCACCCCCTGCCCCCAAGTGGCCCAGTGCTCCCCGCCCCCAAGACTAGACGCTGTGCTGAGGAATTTCACCTTTGAGAAAATGAACAGCAGCTCTAGGAAAGAGACAGGAGACAGTGAGTGAGTCCCTGAGGCTGCATGCTCCCTGCAGGGGCTGGCAGGTCCCTGTGCTTGTGAGGTTCTGTCCCTGAGGGCTGAGGTCCCTGTTGGTGGGGAGGGCTCAGGAACGCAGCTGGGGTGCGCCAGCCCTGGCGGGAGTCGGGGCCGGAGGCATGGTGGTGTCCTGCACTGCTGCGGGGGCGACAGGCCAAGGCAGAGCCGGAGGGGACAGGGAGCACGGAGCTCGGAGGGGTAGGGGAGACGAGGCCTGGGCCCAGCCGGGCTCACAGAGCAGCAGTGGGCCAGGGAGGCTGTGGTGAGGCGGGTGCACAGATGTCCTGCAGGGAGCGCGTACATGCTGGAGCATGTGTACATGGCGCTTCTCGCGTGGAAAGAGTCTGCATGGAGGAGCGCCGCGTGGGTGCCAGAGAGCACTGTGAGGGCTCCGGCTCAGGCAAGCCGCAGGAACGCACAGCAACACAAGGCGTGGGGAGGCCGAGGACACCCACCAGGAGCCAGGCTGCCGTTTTAGGCGACCCATCCATCAGGGGAAGAATACAAACAGCCCCCAACGCTCACCCGACAAGATTTAGCTCCGGAAGAGCCCCGTGTAAGGTGGCGGGCGGGGAGCAAGCCATGTCCTCTGAGCTCAGGCTGCTGTGCCGAACCATCCGCACCCCACGGGGCACCTGGTAAACACATGGGGTCGTCCCACAGCCACGCTGAGGGCAGGGAAGGCTGGACTGCACTGGGGCGAGGGCATGGCGCCCACCCTGATGCCGTCCCGTGGTCTAGGGCAGGGGTTCCCACCCGCGGAACTGGGCGACGTCTGGGGATATCTGTGGTTGTCACGACTTGGGGTGTGCTCCTGGCATGGAGTGGGTGGAGGCCAGGGACGCTGCTCAGCACCCTGCAGGGCCCAGGATGCTCCCCCCACCAGAGAAGGATCCAGCCTGTGTCCACAAGCCCCTTGTCTGGGAGACAGAGCCAGTCAGTCCACCGTGTCTCCCGATCCAGCCTGAGCTACAGATGCTCAGACAGGGCTGCCCTGGCCCCAAGATACGCCCTCAGGGAGGGAGCCTGGGTCAGGGGAGAAGGCAGGCCATGTGGAGAGAGCACTGCTCAGGGGAGAACCGACCACCTCCCCGGGGGCGGGAGGGGCAGCTTGGGCTCTGAAACGTGAGTCACCCATCCGCCTCTCCAGAGAAAAGCACCCCCCATGACTAAAAAAAAAAAAAAAAAAAAAGCGCATCAGCCTTGTTTTACATACTGAAGGCTTTAAAGAAAACTACATCCTTGGGAAGCTGCCTTCATTTGTTATCCAGGCTCGCTGCTGGGGGAAGGCAGCCCCCAGGATGGCAGTGCACGGGAGAGGGCGGGAGGGGGCTCCTGGGGGGAGCAGGTCGTGACTACGAGCGAGCGAGGGGGCGGCTGGGGCAGGGAGGCCAGGCCGCGCAAGGGCTGGTTCTGGGGGTCCACTTCCTGCGTGCAAAGACAGTTCCAAGCAGCGGTGAGCGCTGTGGCTTCTGCATCTCCTCCTGGCTGGCAATTTAGACGGCCTCTAGTCCCATTCCACTCCTGGAGCGTGGTGCCGGTTTACTGGCAATCCGCTCTGTTGACCAATTAGCCTGAGCCACAATCAATTAACCATTATGCAAATAGCGCATCCGGCTGGGCCTGGGAGCTGGGTGCACGAGCTCTGTGCCGGTGTGGCCACCTGGAGTGGCCTCCCCAGGAGGCGGCTCTTCACGAGGAGCAGCAGGCGGCAGGAAATCAAAAGGACAGATCACAAGAGCAGAAGAGAGAGCTTCACCTCGGGGCTGTCAGGAGGGGCTGCAAAAACACTCAGGGCGGAGGGAACATTCTCCGAGACAGGCCGTGGGGCGGGGAAGACAGAGGAGGCCCAGGCAGATGCCCAGACCACCCAGGAGTCCCAGACTCACAAACAGATGCACATGCTAAAAAAGAAGGTGCCCAGTTAGAGAAGAAGTTACTGGACCAGGAGTGACTTTTCAGAAACCAGTTCCAAGGCCTGTTTCTTCAGAGTGTGGTGGGGGCCAAGGCTGAGCCCGCCCCCAACCTTGGTGCTCAGTGGCGGGGTCTCGAGTGGGCACCATCCATCGCCAGCTGGGATGAGATCAAGCCAGCAGTGACTGGATGGCTGCAGAACGAAGGCCACTGCTCAAAGCGAAGGGGGAGGCTGCCCCCACACCAGGGCCACCACTGTAGGCCCAAAGACCAGACCTGGCAGCAGCTAGTCTGGGTACGGCCCACAAGGTAGGAACAGTGTTTACAGGTTTTTTTTTTTTTCCCGGAGAGACAAGGTCTTGCTCTGTCATTCAGGCTGGAGTGCAGTGGTATGATCTCAGTTCGCTGCAGCCTCCACCTCCTGGGCTTGAGTGATCTTCCCGTCTCAGCCTCCTGAGTAGCTGGGACCACAGGAGCACACCACCGCACCCGGCTAATTTTTAAATTTTGTTTAGAGATGGGGTCTCAATATGTTGCCCAAGCTGGTCTCAAACCCCTGGACTCAAGCAATCCATCTTCCTTGGCCTCCAAAGCGCAGAGATTACAGGTGTGAGTGTGCCTGGCCAATATTCACATTTTTAAGTGGCTCAAAACAGAAAAATTATAATATTTGGTAGCATGTGAAAATCATGAGATCCGGATTTCAGGGTCTGTAAACAAAGCTTCATGGACACAGCCCCGCACATTTCTTCTCTGTCTATCATCTGCAGGGGTCTTGAGATGCCATGAGGAGTCGAGACATCGAGACACAGGAGGTCTGGCCTGCAAAGCTGCCAAGTCACAAACGTTTGCTCTCCGGCCCTTCCCAGGAGCAGTCGGCTGAGCCCACTCCGTGCCGTCCCTCCCGGCTCCAGCTCGTGCTCAGGGGCTCCCTGAATGTTTCTTGGGCACCAAACAGCAGTGAGATCTGTTGACAATTGTGCTGAGAGCAGCTCAGAGCCTGGAAGCCTGGACGCTTCCCAGAGTGGGGACCAGGGAGGCCAGCACTCGTCTTCACTCTGGGCATGAAGTGGACCTCCTCCTTGGCTGGGACCTGCCTCCGTGTCCCCACGGCCTCTTGCAGTCGGAAGCCAAGAGACTGCAGACGCTCTGCCCTCTCCTCCAGGCGGACACCAGACACCTGGCTGGAGGGTCTGTGCGGCAGGGGAGACACCGATGCGCAGAAAGGGGTTCTGAGTGGGAGGAGGGCATCCAGGGTCATGCCAGGGGCCAGCCTTCTGCAATCCTCTCCACGATCTCAAATCCAAGCAGCACCTTTACACCGAAGGAGCAACCGCAGACACGGAAGGGCAGGGGCTCTGCAGCCCACCCAATGCCATGTGAGTCCTTGCACGGGACCCGCCTGCTCTCAGTGCCAGGGAGGGGCCTAAGGAGCCCAACAGCAGAAACGCCGTGAGAGGGACAGGGAACCATGTGGCCTGGTGACTCTGCTGAGGCAGTGGCATGGGGCCTGGAAGCATGCCATGCTGAGGGTCAGCCTCCTGGTGGGGACGTGACAGGGAGTATGGGGAGCCCGCGCGTGTGAACGGCACAGACACTGCCCACCGGAGCTGGGCCCACCCACCCCAGCAAGGCGAGGCCTCGAGAAAACACTGTCTCAGACTCGAGGAGAAACAGACAGAACAGGAGGAGGAGAACGAAAGAGGAGGCGGGGTGGGAATAGAAAGAAAGAGAGGAGCGGGACACAGCCTGGAGTCCCTGCCGGTGGGAAGGGGCCTGGGCCACCCGGCAGGGCCACCCTCCGTCATGCTGGGCCAGTCACGCGGCAGCCCCTTGGCAACTCACCTGCGGAGGAGCTTGGCCTTCAGCGAGGCCCGGGACGCGCTCCAGGAGCTCAGCTCGGGGCTGGTGAGTGCCGTGGGCCGCGTGTGGTCCAGCACCGTGAGGTCCTTGCCCTGCTTCCACAGCTCGTAGCGCTCGGGCTGCAGGATGCGCACGAACACGTCCATGGAGATCTTGACCATGTCCTTCCGGCACGTGCACTGTGGCAGGAGACAGGCACCTGAGCCCCTCCCTGCACCATACCTGGACGGCTGGCTCCACACACCCCACTCCAGAGCAGGTAGGGCCCACAGCCCGGGCCTCCCACACCCCATCCCACCGCTGAGCTTTCCGCTTCTAGAACATTTTTCTTTTCAAGACAGGGTCTCACTGTCACCCAGGCTGGAGCACAGTGGTGCAATCATGGCTCACTGCAGCCTCAACCTCTCAGGCTCAAGCGATCCTCCCGCCTCAGCCTCCTACGTAGCTGGGACTACAGGAACCCACCAACACGTCTGGCTAATTCTTAGACTTTTTAGAGATGGGGTCTCGCTATGTTGTTCAGGCTAGTATTGAACTCCTGGGTTCAAGTGATCCTCCTGCCTCAGCCTTCCAAAGCCTTGGGATTACAGGTGTGCACCACCACTCCAGGTCTGTTTCTAGAACTTCTATTACAAGTCAGGAAATGGCGTCCCCCAATTGTGAGTCCCTGGTTTGCCTCCATGGAGTTGTAATGGCCACTGAGCAAACACCCAAGAGAAATGGGGGCTGGGCGCACGACTCGATGAGGGGCCTGAGGTTCAGGGCTGGGCACCACCCCATGCACAGTTGTCCAGAGACCAGCGAGGCTGAGATTCAGATGCCTCCTGTTGGTTCAGGCAAAAATCTCCCTCCTGTCAAGATGTGGTTGCTCCCAGGTAGGTAACAATGGATACGGAGTATTTTATAACAGCAATTGTTCCAAGAGGGCTGGGAAGAGGGGAAATGATGGCAGTCCCCAAAGAGCTGAGAGAAGCGACAGGAATCCCGGAATGTGACAATGGCCCCTCCTCAGGAGGCCTCACGAGGGCAATGGTGGCCCACAGGCTCCCGCACACCTCACCTGACTGCCGCCAGCTTGCAGGGCTGGAGGGACGCCAATGTTAATGGAGAACACACTGAGGGTCTGGGAGGCTCAGGGACTTAGTGGCTATGAAAGGACATGAACATGCCACGTGCTGCGGCCGGCTTGCCTGGGGTCTTGTGGGAATTGAGCAAACACCCAATAGGAATTTCCTGCAGCCCTTGTGTCTGGGAACCTCAAGAGAGTGGCAAGGATGAGCTGAGGTCCCCTCTGGCTGCCTCCCGGGCAGACCCGCCGCTCTCATGCCCTCAGCCCTTCCCAGGTCACTGTTCCTGGTGGCTCTGCTGCTGCATCACTTTGGTCACACGGGGCACTGTGAGGGATGTTCTGCAGGTGACCTGGTGACACTCAACATTTCAGGGACTTGGGGCCAGAGAAGCCAGGCCCCAGAAGGCATGAACAGGGCAACACAGGGAGACCCTGTTTCTACAAGGCATGAACCCAGATGCCCAAGCGGCAATTCCCACCCTGGCACGCAGATCCCAGGAGGTGGCCAGGAAGCTCTGGTCTGTCGCTTACCCGCTCCGATGGGGCTGGAAAAACACCAGCCTCGAGAGGAAGGGGGAAAGGGCAGGGCTGGCAAACAGTGTCACACAGGCCCAAATGCTAAGTGTTTTCAGCTTTGAGAAACTCTGCCACCATGCCTCAAAAGCTTCACAGATGATGGGCAAATGCATGCACGTGGTTGTGTGTTAATAAAACTATTGACAAACACAGGCCAGGGCCAGAGTTGACCCACGGGCTGCAGTTTGGAAGCTCCTGGTCTAGACTCTAGGGGACAAAGTATGCCTGGGAGTCTCCACAGGCATGGGGGAGGGCCATGCAGAAGCTCGGAGGGTGGGGGGCAGAGGCACGGGCCCCCCCTCTGAAGCGGGCACAGCCCTCGTCTCCTGCTGGGGAGAGGCAGCTCAGGGACCACATGCCAGACACAGACTGCCCCCACCTCTGCCAACCCTCATCTCAGCCTCAGAAGCCCGCGGAGAACTTTCTGCCTCTCCATCAAACACGCAAAGGAGAAGCCCATTTCCAAACATCACGAGACACTCTTCCGTTTCGAGTGGCTGTCTTGCTGTCACCACCCATGCTCCACGGGATGAAGGAAATGGGAAGGGAAAGACTTCATTCAACGCGACTATTCCCTTGCCCTGACAACCCTTTCCAGGTGGCCCGCCCTTTGCTTGGAGACACTGACCTATTTACGACCCCAAATCTGAAGCTGTGGGGTTGGGGACGGGAGAAACCTTCCTGTGGAATTTCCTGCAGCTCGTGCCTCCTCCCACCTTCCCCAGTCCTGAGGGAGCCATGGAACCTTCTGCTGGATCCAGGAGCAGGGGCTTGGGAACAGTTAGAGCCCAACCATGCTGAGCAGGAGGGAATATTTACGGCCAAGCAATTCCCAGCAAACTCAATTCATTTGATGAAAGATGGCGCGGGAGAGCAAGGCTGACGGTGTCATTTGGCCGTGGAGTGGCAGGAGCACAGATGGTGCCCGCGTTTCACACTCCTGGCCGCGCCGGCCGCCCCGGCATCCCCATCCACAGCAGCTTAGGGGATTTGTATTGAGCGGCTTTGCAATTGCTTTTCCTTAAGTAATTAAAAAAAGCACCTGTGTGCACCCGTGGAGGGGGACAGGCAGACACGCTCCATGGAGCACACCGCCGTGGCCTGGAGCCCGCCTGAGCCCCCTCGCCCGGCCGGGGCTGGCCAGGTTCCAGAGACGCGTCCCCTGCCCTGGGGGCTGGCGCCACTGTCAGGACAAAGCTGCTGGTGCCAGCCCGCCCACGGCTGGCCTGGAAGGAGGTGGCGGCTGGGGGCACTCCTGCGAGTCTCCACGTGGCCCTGCAGGGAGCTGGGGAGCTGGGACACCCAAGAAGCCAACAGCAGGAAGGAGGCAAGGCCGGTGGGTCGCGGGGAGGGAAGCACGGCCTCGTGGATCGAGGACACAGGGCGGTCACTTCCAAGTGCTGGGCAGTTCAGCAGGGCCACAGCGTGGGAGAGAAACCACTAGGGCCGGTGAGGAGACCCAGCTCCCCTCAGCAGCAGCCTCCTGCTGAACATGCCCAGCCCCCACTGCAAGCCACCAACTCCGGCCTCTTCTGATCGGCTGCGCGCCTGTGGGAGCCACGTGCCCACGAAAAGGGTGAGCCAGGCACGTGAGGACTTCCGTGGGCTGTTCTACTGTGGCTGGGAAGGGTTCAGAGCAGGCCGGAGGGAGCCCCACCACAGAGTCCTCAGGCAGGGCGGACCTCGTTGTCTATTTTCATTCATTAGCGAGGCCCCTGACTGTCCTCACCACAGCCCTGTCTAGCTCCCCACTCTCTGGGACACGCGTGTCTGCGAGGCTGTGCAGGAGTGACTGGAGGGGACGGGCCCTGCCCGCTACAATTTCCTGCTCCCTGACTTGGTGGTCCTCTGTCAGCACTCGCGACAGAGAAGGAAGGTGCCATCTGGGGGAATCTGGCTGTGTCATTAGTTTCTGACGGAGAAATCAGGCACAAACAGGGCAAGAGGAGGTCTGCGCGGCCCCCGAAGGCCTGAGCACGCCCCAGGGCCCTGTGTTCCATCATGTGGCGTGATACACGCAGCCACCAGAGC